TCATTTTTCATGTGGATGTTATGAAAAAGGCTTAAGTCCCGGTAGAGATTCTTAGTAATTAATGGCGTAAGATTAAGAGAAGAGAAAAGAAAAAAACAAATTTGCTGTTCCGCGTCACTGAACAAGACTTAATAATTGCAAGTGGACCAGGCAGTGTCGCTCCCCTACTTTTGGTCGTCAAACAGTAGAAATAGTGGCATATATATAGTATGCATGTATGTGTATGTATGTATGTTTGCCTGCATTTTCTGCATAAATTCTGATATGTTCATAATTAGTGATTCGCCTCGTCGTTGGCAGGCGGTGCAGCTTCGATTAAGCTACAAATTAAAAGCTTCCACTTCACTTGTCCGTTGCGTCGGTTGATTTCAAATGAGGAATTTACATAAATACGAATCGCAAACAGTGAAGTGCATAAATTAAATGAATTAAATTAATTGCCAAGACAAATATTTGATAGGAAATATACGATGGCTAAAGTAGGCTTACAACCTTTAATGGGAATGTTCCAAACACAGTGACGGTCTTCTTCAAAGTGGTCTCTAGACACTTTAAGCTTCCTCTCATCTCTGCTAGAAAACTCTACAGAGGCTGAGCAACTGCGTATAGATGAGACCGAGTCGCTCACAGGCGCCTAACCTTTGTTCAACACACTTGCTATAAAGAAAGATGACAGAAGCCTCACTCTAAAGCAACAAGCATAGAGGAAGTCAGTATGCATAAAGAGAGTGATCGAGACTTCTTCGCCGACGTCGAGTGACATAGAACCGTCCGGAGACCACAAAATGATTCAGGAGCTCGGCCGGAAATCTCTTGAACTTTCATAAAGCGCCATGAATGAAGCATATGCAAGACCTATCTATTAACATCGCTAAAGGAATTAGGGTGCTTGCAGATTGGACGCTGAATCTCGCGCGTACTTAGGCAGGGAAAAGAGAATACATGGATTCCTCGGAAGAAAAATATTTTGCCTCCAGCTCTGTGCTAATTTTTTTTTTTTTTTGTTTATTGTTTCTTGAAGCAAAACGAGCATGGAAAACACCCGATAACTAAAGAGCGAGAGGAATTGGGGATACAAATGGTGATGTTTAAAGATTTAAGACGTCATCCGCTAAAGTTTTTTGAATTTACCCGAATGAAAACCGAAACGGTTGAATCCAAATTAATTGAAAGTTTTTTTTAAAAATCCCATTTGTGTATGTGCAAGCTATTGCAATTGCGTTTTTTTTTTTTGGTATACGAGTACACGATCATATATAATTTTCTGAATATCCATTTGGCATAAAATTTAAGATTGAAATTCTAATTTACGAGCCGTGTGAGGCTCTCTGGGAGGAAATGAACCTTGAGTGCAAGGCTCGTTCATAAAACGGCTGCTGACAAACATTGAAAATCATGAATGTTCCCCAATTGCGTTGGTGCTATTGATGGAATACACATTAGGATCAAGTGTCTAGCTAATTCTGATTTTTTTCGCAATAATCTTAAAAGACATAGCTGATGCCAACTGGAAATTTATTGCAATAGAAGTGGGTGGATGTGGAAAGCATGTGTGGAAAGTGATGGTGGCACTTTCAACTCTTCTCAGTTGTATTAAAAGATGCAAATCTGTCTGGAACCAATATTGGTGATGAAGCGTAGCCGCTTTTAAAATGTCATACAGTAGAAAAGAAATCACTGAAAATCACGAAAATTTTATCGAGCGAATTTCAAGGGCAATAATTTGGAATTATAAGCGAAAAATTTAGAATGCTATGGAAACCAATTGAGATAGAACCAGAACCGGCGGTAATAATTATTAAAAGTATTTGGCTTCTTCGCAATACCATTATTGACAGCGAGGGTTGGGATAAAAACTTAATTGAAAACATGGATGGAAAGTAGCAAGAAATCGTATAAAAAATATAATAACCAACATTTAAAAAATGGTTGAGAGTGAAGGAAAAACTTTTGTAATTTTATGTCTATGCCAAAATAAACTAAAATAAATTGAATTAGCACTTACTCTGTACATTCATTTCAATTGCCACTGGTCCCTATAGGTTTTCAACCAACACTTAGTTGTAATAATTTTTGCTTTCTTTCGCCATAGAGCAGGGCGAGAATAAACTTCAGTGATTAATATGTCAATTTCGCTTTAAAACTGTTTTTCTCGCAATGATCAGCTTTGCGCTCGGCTTCGGTCAGCTCTCAGCGTCCACTCTGCAGACACCCTTAGTTTATTTAAAAATGTATCCTCCTTGAATATATCCCCGAAACATTTTATGGAAGTTACATTTTTTAGTTTTGTTTTTGCTTCACCTTAATACACACAAATTAACTTGCAGATTTTGTATTAATTTGTTTTAACTTTCCTTGGAATTTTGGTTTTAATATTTTTATGCATCTCACGTTCCATTAACCCAGTGCAGAAAGCCAACAATATTATTTATAGAAATGCCGCTGGGAAGCATGTCTGTCGGCAATTATAAGAAATATGCGCACTTTTAATTCCATAAAGCAAAAAAGTTAAGCTGACGAAGCAAAAATGAATTCAGTACTGTAACTATGTGGTAAGTACCTGTACCTAAGTGCAATTATGCTTGTAATTAGCTATGTAAATACGAGTATGTATACTCGGACAAATGTATTGTAGCAAAAGCTTCAGACACACGGCTCTTTTGTTTGCAAATAAATGCGGGCAAAAGCGAAAAGCAGCAGCAGATACCTACATTCTGGGCTTGTGGTTTAAATGAGATAACAATTAAAGTGTGAATAATTTAAAACAAAACAAAAGAATTGAGTGTACGAAATTTTTGAGCTTCTGCGAAAGCGATTTTCATTCACGGATTTATTACATATTATTTGCAATTACTGTATCTAATTATTTATTCCTCGCATACCACACTTAAGTTCGAAAATCGAAAATTAGTTTATTTTACACAAAATTTCGTCTCTAATTTTGCTATTCATTCCTGCATGCGAACCTTTGCCAAAACACATCCGATACTGTACTGTTAGCAGTAACAACCACGCGAGAATTCGTAGAGCATCTGTTTCACTGGAGTACTTGTCGGATTACTTCCCTGTGTGTCAATGTTGGATCAACTCACGTCTCGATACCAGCCATTCGTTAGCCGACAATTGATCGTGTTCTAACGATCGCAATTATTAAACGAAGTTCAATTGCGAAATATATATTTTGAATAGAGGAAATGTATGAAACTGAAATTAATCAGTTTAAGTTTTTCTGGCTTTTGTTTGGAGTAAGAACAAAGCTACGTAGTTTTCTTCAGATAAAAGAAATATAAATAACAAGAAGTGAGTGAAGTAGGGTAACGGGAAGGACTATAATGTGACTACCTAATTTCAAATTTAATCTCTTGTGAGTACTCCTACATTATGCATAGGTGGTCCATATGTATGTATGTATGTATGCATATTTTTATTCAACAAAGCAGTTAAACAAAATTTAATTAGATTTATTGCTACAAGCCAACTTTGCTATATGCATAAGTGAAGGCATAAACCGTACTAAGAATATAATTGCAACTTCAAGATAATTTAAAAATTTGCTTCTTCGAAAATGTCCGGATTTGTGTTAATTAAACATCATTAACGAGAAGTTCTTACTTTTATATTAGTTTTCAAGAAAAGTGCATCTGAATCCCGACGAATGCTTATGGAAGATTATGATGAATCCGCGCCGACCGATAAGTCATACAGATAAACATTCCAAGGCTTCGAAAGTGATGATTTTAGAAGGTCAATAGCGTCCTGACCAACCCAAAGAGTTTGAAGATGAGGAGTGCTGTTGAGACCAGGCGAAATCATTGATGCAAAACTCTATCGACTACACTATGTGTTTGAGTCGTGCATTGCGTAAAAAGCGGCCGGAAGCGACCGAGGAGTATTATAATATGATTTAGCAACCTGACAGTGCTTGGCACTACGTGACTGTCACCGTCGAAAAATTTCGGAAAATGCTAAAATAAAAGCTTTTACTCCCCGTATTCGCCAAACCTTGATCCTTCCGACTACTGTATTTTAGGATAGATGCAAAACGATTTGGAGGTCACTGGTTTGGGTATTTTAAATTAATCGAAGAATGAATCGAGCCGAATGACTGGATCGAGGACAGAGTGGAGAGGAACCCAATTAATTTGGACACTCAAATTTTGAGAATGTAAAAAGTGTTATTATATTCAAATGGAGTTCGTTTTCAAATTAAAACTAATTTTTTCTCAGTAAACGTATATTTCAGCAAAATATGCTCACTTAATTGACAATTAAGGCTGCACTAATTGCATTGCAATTAAGTAAGAAATATTCATTAATAACTCTGCGAAGTATCATTGAATAAACAAACTATAGAAATGTATTGGGAAATAAAGTTTCCAAATAAAGTTCAGTTTCACAAAAGAAATTATATTCTTGTTGTACGCCATGAATTACTTTGTTAAGTTTGTGTGAACACCAAAACTTAATTAAAATTAAATCACCTGCTGTTTTCCAGGAGAATAGTAATAACTTTAAGCTGTACTCTAAGCTTACTCAGCTAAAGGTTATTTCCAGCATCATCAAGTATTGGAAATAAAGAACAAATAGGTATCGGCATAATGCAATAAAAAAGAGACAAGATTAAGTGTTTGGCTACCTGTCAACCCGTGACACGAAATCCGAGTACAAATCAATATATCATAAAACCTTTATCATTTGCACTACGTTTGTGTTCAAGCCATTAAAGTAGATATTTTGCAATTTGAATTTACGCTGTGCTTCTTCTCCAGAAAAATTGTCTGGTTTTTATTCCACTGTATTCTAGCAGCTCCATACTTGTTATGGAATATACTCTTTAAAATTATTATAAACGTTAATTCCATTTCTGTTTTTTATTTGAAACCCTTACATATATTATATAATAAGAAACAGGCATCCCAAACACGTCCGCCATCCAACATATTAAACATTTCCTCATTTTGCAAATTTACAGCTGAAATCTAATAATTACAATTACTTACCTCTGCAACAGCTATCTGTATACACACACTGAAATATTTACGCTCTCTTCCCTCTCCTGCATAATCTGCTTGAAGCATCTGACTCTCCGTCTGCCAGACAATTCGATTATTAACTGTTGCGTTTCGTAAATTACTGACTGCCCCCGACCAAACTCATTTTGCAAATATGCCACCAGCGACTTTAGTGGCAACAAATTTTACTACCCATTAAAATGAGTTAGTGACAGTTGAGTTGTCAAAGTAGATTGACGAGAGAAATTTATATTTACATACATACAGTGAGGAGAAACATATGATTTTTTAATTTAATTTTAATTTTAATTTTAATTTTAATTTTAATTTTAATTTTAATTTTAATTTTAATTTTAATTTTAATTTTAATTTTAATTTTAATTTTAATTTTAATTTTAATTTTAATTTTAATTTTAATTTTAATTTTAATTTTAATTTTAATTTTAATTTTAATTTTAATTTTAATTTTAATTTTAATTTTAATTTTAATTTTAATTTTAATTTTAATTTTAATTTTAATTTTAATTTTAATTTTAATTTTAATTTTAATTTTAATTTTAATTTTAATTTTAATTTTAATTTTAATTTTAATTTTAATTTTAATTTTAATTTTAATTTTAATTTTAATTTTAATTTTAATTTTAATTTTAATTTTAATTTTAATTTTAATTTTAATTTTAATTTTAATTTTAATTTTAATTTTAATTTTAATTTTAATTTTAATTTTAATTTTAATTTTAATTTTAATTTTAATTTTAATTTTAATTTTAATTTTAATTTTAATTTTAATTTTAATTTTAATTTTAATTTTAATTTTAATTTTAATTTTAATTTTAATTTTAATTTTAATTTTAATTTTAATTTTAATTTTAATTTTAATTTTAATTTTAATTTTAATTTTAATTTTAATTTTAATTTTAATTTTAATTTTAATTTTAATTTTAATTTTAATTTTAATTTTAATTTTAATTTTAATTTTAATTTTAATTTTAATTTTAATTATATTTTTTGATATAATATATATATTTGATTTTAATTTTATTTCTCACTGTATGTGAACACATGTATAATATATACACGGAATACGCCTATGTACTCATATGCCTTTAACAGTCTACTGATTTTGTGCTCACCTGGACACATTAGCTCCATCATTGCCTACCAAATGCCGCTCCGCACTTTTACGGTAATTATGCCACTTCTATTTGCAGTGATAGATATCATTGCTATTTTTGTTGTTGTTGTTGTTGTTGTTGTTGTTGTTATAGTTTGCTAATGTTTAGTTTGTAATCGTTAGGCTGTGAAACAGTTTACTTGCACACACACATATGCATGTGCATACAAAACACACAAACACACTAGTCCCAACTTTTATCTCCTTTTTTGTTGGCTTTGCGGAACATAAACTCTTTACCCAACATTGCAACATAACTGAAATGCAAACATATAAATATATGTACTAGTATTTGTATGTTGTTTATCGGTAGCAACGCAACACTTGTTCCTGTGCTCTGTACAACATGTTGCTGCCAATGTTTTTTCGCTGAATTGCACGCATGAGTTATTAATGAGCCGCAACGGTGTGCTAGTACTATGGCGATAGCAGCAACAACAATTGTGAAAACTAACGAGCATTAGCACAACGGCACTTGCAACAATATGTCTGTAGCGTCTGTTTTGCTTATTTTTTTTTTTTTTTTTGCAAAGTTCGTCTTTTGGACGCTTACAGGAACTGGCAACGCAACAACTGGCGCACATCAATAAGCCACCAACCCATAAAACCAAAGACAGTGCAACACGGCTATGCTGGCTTTTTACACACAAGCTTCCCTGCCTCCGAGCCCATCGTGAGGTGGTACCTTTGGCATGTGAACTCCCCTTTGGGAAATTAGCGTCTAAATACTTTGACTGCTAATGTGGCATCAAATAGCGTCTGGAGGCTTTTCCGCACACATTTTTTACTCACATATCCATATGCATAAGGTGTAACAACAACAACAGGTGCAGTTTTATACCAATAGCAGCAAGACTAAATGAGCCCGAAAGTAAATAGTCAAGTGCTTACAGTCACACAATCGCCTTTGTGGCTCTGATAGAGGAATTGTCCCACGGAAAAGTAGACTTAAAAACAATAGGAATGTAAAAAAATAAAATATGCTTCGAATTATTTTTGAGCTCAACAATCTCAATAAAGTAGATTTAAGTCAATAAAGTAGAGCGATTGATCGGCAAGATATGTAACCTCCGAGTGTGTTTCTTACGTGAAGAAAAATAACATCAGAGTTTTTGAGGCGGGTCCTCCATTTTTACGAAAATCATCAGCATGTACACCACAAGCTTTAATCCTCATATCGTCGAATAGAAAGAGCTTTTAATGAAAGTAATTCGACAAGACATTTCGGACACTTGATCTCTCGGTACACATGAAAACAACACGTCCTCTTTTCCATGGGACCGCCCCTGTATGTACATATCCATACACAAATATGTCTGCAACCAATATGTTGGCCTCAAATAGACACAAGCCAGCGAGTGCGAGGTTGTTGGGAATATACCAGTGCGATTATGTATCAAGTGGCAGTAGTTCTCCAGTTATGGTGCAATAAACCAGCAGCATAATTGGGAGTAGTGGCTGTGCTGCTGCAGCGTATGTATTATACATTTAACTGGCTTTAAAGATGTGAGCTATGCCACATAATTGCGGCAGTGATTTAACTTGTAATGAGGTTAACCCAAAAGAAATGGAATAAATAAAACAGCAGAGCATTTTGTAATGAGAATATGTCTATATAAAAATATATACATACATATGTGTATGTGTGTGCGGGCTAATGGGAATCGTGGGATTATTTAGCGTTCGGTACATATACCGTAAAAGCTGTTAAGTGAGAACTCACTCCATGTACAGTAATGGGAATGATGAAATGATGAACATAAATAAGGGGCAAAGAAGTAAAAAAAGTAAAAACTATGCAGCTTAAAAGTTTACGAGTTTAAGGAATAGCATAAAGCTCTGCAGATCAGACTTATAATAAACCCTAATCCAAAAGGAGTAATTTTTGCTCAGTTCAAAATAAGAGAAAGTTTAAAAGGTAAGAGATCTAGTGACAATAAAGTAAAACCTTTGAGCTTCAAGACTTTTAAAAATTTCAAAAAGCTTTGCTATTAAATCCTTTGACCTCGATTTATGTATACACCTACACCCTGTGGGTTAGGGGCTCAAGAATTAACCCGCGGTAAGGCATGCCTGTCGTAAGAGGCGACTAAAACCCAATAGTTCCCGCGACAGTCGGGTCTTTATACCGAAACAACCCGGATTTTTATCCGGCCAAGGACTGTCACTCCCGCAACATTTTCCAAAAGGTACTTTGGGGGAATAATTTTGCGGTTACAACTACAACAACAACAACATACAAAAAAATTTAAAAGTAATAACCTATTTAATTGGAAAGATTTCACATCGGATTTGTATTAAATAAGCAACTTTTGTGGAACAACTTTCGAAAATTACCTGGTGTCGTCGTATTCTCCAGACCTTGCTTATTCCAACTACTGGCTTTATCGATGGATACAAAACGACTGGTGGGGTCACCGGTTCGGGTCTTTTGAAGTAAATCGGAGACTGAACATAAAAAAAGGGACCGAATCAATTTGTTTTGTACCCTGAACACTTCTATACCCAAAAAATACGGTCATTCCCGTCATTTTTTCTTCATTCAAATTTTTGCCAACCTGAATCTTGAAAATGTGAACGCATCTTAAATAATATGGCAGTTTTCCCAAATATTGCTATCCATGAAAACTCTTATGCGAAATTCCACGTATAACTGTTAATTTAAAGAACTCATAATTGTGGCATGGCTTGAAGCTCTGTTGATGTGAACAATAAAAATGTTAGGCTTCATTTCAAATTACAGCACGTGTACATAACTACGTAAGTAAACACAAAACGAGACATGCGAAAACATAACAAATATTTTAGGTATATCAGTTGTACTTTAATATTTACATCGCATAGCACACTAAATCGAAAAACGTCACAACTCAAAAATCGCCAATGAGAGAGACAGACACAAAGCAAGCGCCGCGAGTAATTTGAAAATAAACATAACAGTATTTTTCCAGGTAAGAAAGACTGTGATTTAAGAGAAATTTTTATAGCCATTGGAGTTGTGTTCTGTGAACTGGTTTACAGGGGGGAACCCTAATTTTGAAAAATTTTGACTTGTGACATTTTTTATTTTGGTATGCCATATATACGAATGAGTGCAATAGTTTTCGCTGATGCGATAAGAGAACGTCGTAAACTTCAATGAATCCACAAATGACGTGACAGAATTCATTAGCAGATATGTGTTAGCAAATATCCATATGTGAGTGTACCTACATACCGCGCGAGAATTTCAAAATAATTTCGTAGGAAGTAATACAAACTCGTATATTATATTAGTATGTATGTACTTTACAAATAAATAATATTTAAAGTGAATATTGAACGTCATTATCTGTGCTAAATCGAAAGCACACATTCTGATTACTGTTTTACATCACGAGAATGAAGTAAATATAGGTTAAAGGGTTTGAATTGTTTTGCCTCAGATTATTCATCCAGTTTTTTTGTAGGACGGACCAGGAATCGCCAGGTTGGGATTCGAATGTTATTAGTTCAAATCAACCACTCCGACTTTGCGGCTGGCAAATTCTCTTCAAATAACAAATAAATAACTCATGTAATTACTGGTTTGCAGCCAGACTCATTTTCTGAAAAATGTTCGAGTTTCTCTGCCTAATCCGCATAAAGGGATGAGCCTCCTAAATATCAATATATAACGTAATTGTACTTATACCGTAAAACCAGCCTCTCCGACCCATTCGATACCAAACGAGGTTTCAGAGAAGGTGATTCCTTATCGTGTGATTTATTTACAAAGCTGAATAGCGAAAGTACAATATTGACAATGTACAACTGCTGGCAGATGCCGATCATATTGACATCATTAGCGACAAACGCTATACCATGAGTTCTGCTTTTTCCACACTGCATAAGGAAGCGATGGCACGACGCAATATCTCCTGTCATCAAAGAATTAGTTCACAACTTAGCTCAAACTAAACTCGGAAATGTGAAGTTGTAGATAATCTCGTCTGTATAGGGACCAGTACACCAATAACAATG